CTCTGTGTCTCCTGCCCCTATGTCCCTCTCTCCCACCCACCATGCATCTATTAAGCCCCTCCCCAAGCCTCAGTGAGAACTGTGACAGGGCAGGTGCCAGCTGCACGTGGCCACCGAGCTGGAGACCGGGGGTTTGTCATTTTACCTCATGGCCACTGATTCAGCATCCCACACGCATAATCGGGTCAGACCCTGGGAAACTTAGTTAACGGGCTAGAACAGCTTGGGCCAGTGGGTCCACTTTTTCAGCCAGAAAGTTGATAAGAACGGACTGCAAATGGGATCCTTGCTGGGAGAATTAGAAAGCAGCGCTGCGTTTCAAGGGCTGATGAGAAAGAGGCACGAAGCATCTTACTGGGAATTTTAGAATCAATTACAGGTTGGAATGAAGCTGTCTCAGACCAATCAGGTTAAATATGTAACTAAAATTAATTTCACCCATTTCATGGGCTCCTTTTTATTTTTTTTATTTATTTTTTATTTTTTTGGTCCCCGGGGATCGAACTCAGGTCCTTGTGCTTGTGAGGCAGGCAGCAGAACCACTGAGCTAAATCCCCGGCCCATTGGCTCCTTTTAAAATGTGGCAAGTAGGAAATGTGAACCTATGGGAGCTGGGTGTGGTGGTATACATGGGTAATTCCAGCCCTCTGGGAGGATGAGGCAGGAGGATCCCCAGTTCAAGCCCATTCTGGGCAACTTAGCAAGACCCTGTCTCAAAATATTAAATTGAAAAAAGGGTTGGGGCTGTAGCTCAGTGCAAAGGCCCTGGGTTGGATCCCCAGTAGCAAAACAAAACAAAACACAGCACAACAGTGTAGCCATGGGGCTCACGTTGTGCATCTAGGGAGGGGAAGCAGCCTCATTGACCCCGTGGGGGCAACAAGTCCCCGGATGGAGAAAGACCCTGAGGAGCAGCCTCTCCTGCCATTTGGAGCGCAGGTCCAATCCCTCCCTCCAGCACGGGCGCTGAGAAGGGGTCCCTGGAGCCGTCCCAGGGATGTGGGTCCCACTGGGCCTCGGTTTTCCCTTCGTGAAATGGAAATCACCATGGCGACCACACAGGTTGCTCTGCCACACAAGGCTCGGAACCCAGCACAGACAGGGAGGTCTTGATTGTCATCTCCCTCCCAACTCCTTTCCCAACTCCCAAACTCCCAGCCCTGGCCCCAGAAGGGTGGCGGGGCTTGGAGAAGAAAGAAGGAAAAAGAAAACAAAGGACTAAGCAACCAAACCAGACACAGTTAGCTCGCTGGTCACGGACCAGCAGGGAGCACCACAGTGGGTAGTGGGGGTGTCCCCTTGTCACATGGCTCCACAGCCACCCTATCCGGCAGGCCCCAGTGGCTGAGTGACAGCCGGCATCTGAACTCAGTTGGCCTGCTGTGGTCATTTTTACTTTCTTTCTTTCTTCTTTTTTTTTTGACAGAGTCTTGCTGCATAGTCCAGGCTGGCCTTGAACTCAGGGTGATTCTCCTGCCTCAGCCTCCCAAGTGCTAGGAGCACAGGCCTGCACCACCATACCTGGCTTGTGGCAATTCTTCCTTGCAGTCGTGGCATCCCCACTCTCTCTGGCCCTCAGTCCCCGCATGAGTGGCCCCCACATCTCCTGGGAGCCTATGTCCCAGGCTCCCCACAAGACTAGAGTCTCCAGCATTCCTGATGGCTGCAGGGTTCCTTCCCTCCGCAAGAGCAACCGGAAGTAGCAAGTGTCCTGCACCTTCCAGGGAAGGGGGCACGAGGGGCAGGAGACAGAGGCATCCCATGGCCTCTCACCTCTCACCTGTCCCCTGAGGCCTCCTGCACTCTGCTGCCTGAAGTCCACCCAGGGCTGCCTCTCACCTCGTATATGGTACAGAACCCTTTTATTACCCGTAAAACCATTCGGGTACAAAATAGCCTCTGGCAAGGAGGGGCCGGGCAAAGAGCAAAGATTAGAGGTCCCCAGGCTGGGGACCAGGAGATCAGAGGGAGGGAGGGGTGCTGATGAGGCTCATCCAGGCCACCAAGGGCTCAGCGGGCCCAAAAGGCCAATGTCCACCGGGCCTTGACCCTAACCAGAGGGGGACATTGTTAAGCCTCCTCTGGCCAGAGGCTCCCTCTGGGATCCTGCTCCACCGGGGCCTTCCTCATCCCCAAAGCCAGGGTGTATTAGAGTCAGGTTTTCCTGGTTCAAATCCTGGCTACACTCCATTTGACAGCTGTGTGACCCTGGGCAAGTTCTTCAACCTCTCTGGGCCTCACATTTTAAATGAGATGATGATGAGATGATGGCACTTAATCATCCACCCAGCTTGATCTCAGGCAGACAGGTTGCTGGGAGGATTAAGTGAGATAACACATGGCATACGGTGAGCAATCTGGGGACACAGGCATGACAGAGCCCTGGGCCGTGTCCATGTTAGCTCTGCCAGCAGCTGACCATCCTGCCTGCCTCCTGCATCTTTCCCTCCTCAAGCTTTTGGGATGGCTTGTATCCCACAGGCTGCCATCCAAAAACAATGTATGATAGGCTGGGGATTTAGCTCAGTGGTTTCCATGCTCAGGCGCAAGGACCCAAGTTTGATCCCCGGCACCAAAGAAAACAATGTATGATTTAGTTTTTCTTGTTCAGGGGCCTTAAAATGCAATCAGGAGCCAGGTATGTGGTGGCACATGCTTGTGATCCCAGCACTCAGGAGGCTGAGGCAGGAGGGTCGCCAAGAGTTTGAGGCCAGCAGAGGCTACATATAGTTCAAGTGAGATCCTGTCTCAAAAAACAAGCCAGCCCCACAATCAATCAAAAGATAAAAATGCAAGCAGGCTAGCTCGACCCCAGGGTTATTGTCTTTGCCTAATGCCCACTGTGGGACCACGCAGGGGGTGGCATTTCCTGGGCTCCTCTGCCACCCAGGATGCATCTGATCTTCACGGTGGCCTCTGCCCTTGCCGCTGGCCCCTCCCCAGCACACCCAGCCCCTCCTCACCCGCCCTGTAACCCTGACTCATCGCCTGAGTTGCCCAATCTTGCCTCCATCCATCCCTCCATTCATTCTGCCGGGTCGTTCTCCCCGACTCAGCTCCACACTGCCTCCCCGCCGCCCCAGGTGGAGGCCCAGGTGCTGAAGGAGGGATCTGACTACAGCCCAGCACTGTGGGGGACCCTGGCTGAGCACAGCCTTCCCCTGGCCTGGCCAAGAATCCTCAGTGCTGGTGTGAAGGCTCTGGGCCTGAGACCAGTCCGGCCTTCGAAGGAGAGAGCAGAGGTCGCCCTGGAGGAGGTGACATACGCAGAGACAGCGAGGATCCATCAGGCCATGGATCAGCCGGGCCAGGGAGGAGTGGGGGGAAGCAGCAGGCTGATGCCAAGGGCTGAGCTGATGGGGAAGGACAGACAGGGAGGCCACACTGGGCTTCCACCAGCCACTGGAGGGGGGCAGGGTCAGGGAGGCCAGAGGGGGCCTCTGCTCCAGCCCCGTGCCCCAGTCCAAACCAGGGACCTCTACTATGTATTTCTCTTGAATAAAAAAATCCCTGTTTTACAAAGCTTTTGTAACCCATCCACATGGATGCAGGGGAGCCCCAAAAGGGACTGCAGAAAGGGGAGAGCTAGGGACAGACTAGGGGCTTGGACAGAGCCTCTTTAGGAATCCCTGCAGCAGAAAGCTGGTGCCAAGGCCCAGGGCAGGGAGCCCGAGTGGTGGCCCAGGAGCCTGACATCACTCCAATGTCAGTCCCTCCCCGGCCCCCCAGGTGGATGGAATGCGGGAGGTGAGGCCGGTACCCCCGGGGCCTGGGAGGCCTGGGAGAGGCAGCTCCGGACCCACTGGAGGTGGGGAGGCTCCCAGAGAGGCTGAGGGTGAGCCGGGCTCCAAGTGTGGGCTGGGCGGGGGCCTGACTCAAGGACAGGATCCTGGGGCCATCGCAGGAGGAACAGTGCTGCAGGTCACTGGGGGGGGGGGGTTGCTGGGGAGGGGTTTCATAAAGGAAAAGGCCCCAGAAGTGCACAGCTGGGGGAGCTGGAGATGCTGTGGTACACTCGGGGCAGAGACACCCGGTTCTGACAGTGTCCCCACCATGAGCTCAGGGCCCAGAGACGCTGGGAAGCTTGTCCAGGTCACACAGCACTTGGTTGAAGTTAACAGCCCCATCTCTGGAGTCCCCACTCCTGAGGCCTCATGGTGCCCTGGCTCAGCACTCCACGGAGAGAGGGCCCAGGGGTGGGGGTGAGGCAGCCCTGTCAACCTCCTCACAGCCCAGGCAACTGGAGATGCCCCCAGCAGGGTGCTGTGTAAATGCAGGCGGCCGCCTGCCCTCCCTGGGCCTCTCCTGCTTCTCCAAGAAATGGAGCCCATGGAGAGGCACGTGGGGCTCTCACCAAGGCGTTAGGGACGAAGAACCCGCTGAGCCTGGATCGAGTCTGCTCCTCCATCACTTTCCCTTTCAGCCTTAGTTTCCCCACCTGGGAAGCAGGTGTTCTGAGGGTGTCTGACTCAGTGGGGCTCCCGGAAGCTGGAAGGCTCTGTCCTCACCTCTCCCACCTGGCCCTCACCTCCCAGGGCACAGCTTCCCCCTCAGGGCCACCAGGCGTCCCCACCCTGCCCACCTCACTCTGCCACCCCCCACCCCAAGCAGGGGGCACATTCTGAGCCAGGGGAAGCACCCTTTCTTCCTTTCTTTTAATTTGGTGACAGTCAGGGAGGCTTCAGACTTGTGGCGCTCCTCCTACCTCAGGCTCCTGAGTGCTGAGCTTACTTACAGGTGTGCACCCCCCCAGCCACCACCCGCCTTCTTTCAGGGCTTTCGAGGGGCGCACTTGGGAAGAAGTGGGGTGCAGCCAGCCCTGAGGTTTGCCGGGCAGCTCCTGGGCACCATGTTCCCTCCAGGTAGGCACCAGGGGAGGTGGCGGCTCCAGGCCCCTCGCCTAGAGGAGCAACCGAGGCTGGGTGACTCCGTGCAAATGGCCCCATTCCCTTCCCCAGCAGGGCCCCGGGGACAGACACCAGCCCCTCCGGCCGCCTCACCTCATCTCCGAGACATGCGCCAACTTGTCCCACATCACCGGGGCTCCGGGCCCATCCATGGCGGTGGGTGAAGGGCGGGAGGAAAGGAACTGGCGGCCAGTTGTGCGCAGCCCGCGTCTGTCGCCCAGCGAGTGCCAGGTGCCGACCAGGTGCGACCTCGCCCGCCCAGAGGCGGGGCCGCAGCCGGTTTGCCCAGATGCTGCCCACGCCCCGCGCAGGCCCGACGGGAGGGACGGGCGCCTCCCTGCTGGGGGGGCGGGAGAGGAGGGAGGGGCCCTGCCAGGCCCCAGCCAATGGGACCTCCGAGGCCGTTCAGGCCCTGGCCCATCCATCCAGCCTGTTCTTTCATTCATTCATTCTGTCTTTTTCTTTTTTCCCTTCTTTTCCTTGGATTTTTGAGTCAGGGTCTTGCTCTGTAGCCCAGGCTGGCCTCAAGCTGGCGGGATCCTCCTACCTCAGTCTCCCAAATTCTGGAATCACGGGCATGTGCCACCACACCTGACCTCATTCACTTGTTTTTATTTATTTAAGAACTATTTTTGGGGGGGGGTTACCAGGGATCGAACTCGGGACCTTGCACTTCCGAGGCAGGCGGTGGAACAACTGAGCTACATCCCAGCCCCATTCAAGAACTATTTACTGAGCGCCTGCTGTCTGCCAGGTACTGTTCTAAGGGCAGAGCTAGAGCAGGACAGTAATTATGCCCTCCTGGGTGACCTGGCAGCGGTGGAAAGACAGAGGCAAAGAGAAGGTTCAGGGCGCTGGCAGGGACAGAGAGGGTCAGAGACAGCGAGAGACAGAGTGACCAAGCGACAAGCAGGGACACAGTGTCAGAGACAGAGACAGCGAGAGGACAGGAGAGGTGAGAGACCCAGGAAGACCCTGGGACGGAGACTCGGAAGAGACGGATGGTGAAAGACACAAAGACCCAAAAGGTACAGAACCCCAGAGATGGCCAAAGATAGGAGGGCTCCGGAGACACAGCAGGGGTCCTGGCCGGGGCTGCCCAGGGGAGTCTGAAGGCCCAGCAGACAGCCATGCCTTGGTTTGCCCATCTTCACGGTGCCCGTTTGGTTAGCTGTTGTGAGGACAAAGAGGACCGTTTGGGGGGAGGATGCCCCCACTGGTCCTGTCCTCCCAAGCCCTGCCCTCCCTGTGCAGGTCCCAGGCCTGAGTCCCTGGGTCGGCCAGGCAAGCCTGGGCCCACCAGAAGTGACATTTTTATTAAGCAAAAGAAATAGCCCCTACACGTTTAAAAACACCTTGTCAGATCCCCGGTACCCAAAACAAAACAAAACAAAACAAAACAAAACACCTTGTCAAAAAACAAAAACAAAAACAAGGGCCGGGGATTTAGCTCAGTGGTTTCGCCTGCGCAAGCGCAAGGACCCTAGTTCAATCCCTGGTACCCCCAAAAAACAACAACAAAAACCCCTCAAAGCCAGGCGAGGTGGCACATACTTGTAATCCCAGCATTCAGGAGGCTGAGGCAGGAGGATCACTGCAAGTTCAAGGCCAGCCTCAGCTACATAGTGAGTTCAAGACGAGTCTCTGCATAGCTAGACTCTGTCTCAAAAAAAAACCAAAACTAAAACCAAACCAAAGCAAAACCGAAAACCAAAAACCACCTTCTGAGAGATGAGTCGAGGAAGGAAATAAAAGTCATTATGCTACCTCCAAAAAACTACTACAAACATTTTGACAGGATCTTTCTAGAAACTTCTTGCTTCTCAGGGGTCAGAGAAATTTTAGTCAGATAAATAAATACAAATTTTTTTTTTTTTTGGTACTGGGGATTGAACTTGGGTCCTTCTGCTTGTGAGGCAGGTGGCAGAACCACTGAGCTAAATCCCCGGCCCAATACAAAATTAAAAAAAAAATAAATCAATGAAGTTTTTTGGGGGGGTTACTGGAGACTGAACCCAGGGCTGTTGCACTGAGCTACATCCCAGACTCCCAACCCCTCTGAGACAGAGTGGCACTAAGTCACTAAACAGACAACCCTCTTGCCTCAGCCTCCTGGAGTGTCGGGATGATAGGTATGCCTGTCATATGCCTGGCTTGAAATTGTATGTACTAATTATTAGTTCAGAGGTACGGGAGATGGGAGAGGTCATTCTCCCAAAGATGTGTGGAACAGGGGGTGGCGAGTGTGACCATGCTGAGGACAGGAAGGCGATAAACGGTGTGGGATGCCCCATGCCTCAGTATTTCCCCCAGAGACCCCACTCTGACGCCTAGGGCTGTGGGGACCTCCAACCCCAAACCCTGACTGAGCCTTCCCTCACACCAGTTTACTCCTTTAGGTCCCATCTGTGGATGGAGGCCAGGCAGGCAGGGGACACCCTGAGGTTGGGGGCCAAGCAGCAGCATCTCACCTGGCCCTGGGCCAGGGCTACCTCCTCTCTGATGCACTTTCGTGCATCTTTTGCTCCCTATGAGGTGACCCCGTCCTGTCCTGCCCACGGGAAGTCACCTGACCCCACACTGCTGTGGACCCCCGCCGCCTCTAGTCTCCTGGGAGAGGCTGGGCAGAAGAGGAGGCAGCCCCCGGGGACAGGAAGAGCCGGGAGGACCTGGTGTGGTCACTGGGATGCTGAGGGCAAGGGGCCTGGGCTGCCCCAGAGCTGGTAGTGACAGAGAACTGGCCAAGTGAGCAGGCCAAGGCCCTGGACGTTTCTACCCCAAGGCCTTTGCATTCGCTATTCCCCAAGACACGCAGAGGCTCTGCAGCCTCCTGTGCCCAAGTCTCGCCCATGTCACCTCCCGCGCAGCCCTGTCACCAACATCACATCCTGACCTGTTCTTTTTCCACTGCACTTGTCACCATCTGACTTGCTAAACGTTTTGCTTGCTGTCAACCACACGGGGATGTGGCTTGTCCTGTGTCACCATAGTGTCCAAAGGAGGTGCCTGGGGGCAGATGAGCTGTCACCGGGACAGAGTGAGCGAGGGGCCGTGGTGTGCACGGGGTCTGGAGCAGCAGGAAGGGGGCCGAAAAGGCGCTCAGGAGACTCGGGGACAGGGGCCCGGAAGGGACCCAAAGACGCCTGGGCAACGTCCTGGGAATTGCGGGAGGGGAGGAACATGGACAGCAATCACTGACCACACGGAAACCCATCAGGGCCCTGAACATCCGGGACAACGGAGGGGGAGAGTGGAAACGGCAGGGGGAGCCCAGGCCAGGCGGCAGGGGCAGTGGGCGGGGCTGAGGTTTATTCAGCACCCAGGGCCCTGCTGCGCTTTACTGGGCTTTCTTCCTGGACCTCACGGAAACCACGCAGGAGTTTAATCCCCAAAGTTTTATATTACTGGTATTAGGAGGGTGGAAACTTAATCCGACTGTGATGTTTAAAGGTGAGGCCTTTGGGAAGTGATTAGGTTAGATGAGGTCATCAAGGTGGAGCCCACGAATGAATGGTGGTGGCTTTAGTAAGACGGGGGAGAGCCCGGGCATTACCAGTGATGTGAAGAGCCAGGGGAAGGGGCCTCTAGAGCCTGTATAACACTGTCTACCGCTAGAACCATGAGATAAAGTCAACTTTTTCTTTATAAAATACCAGTCTCATGTATTTTTTTATAATAACGAAAAACTGGCCAATACACCATCCCTCTACCCATTTATTGATTTATTCCTTATTCCATTCATTGTTGATTCAAGTATTCATCCATTCTTTTTTGTTTTTTTGGTACTGGGGATTGAACTTGGGTCCTTGCGCTTGCACAGCAGGCAGCGAAACCACTGAGCTAAATCCCTGGCCCATATTCATCCATTCTTTATCCATCCATCATCCACTCACCCACCATATATCATCCAAACATCTATCCACCCACTCATCAACCACCCATCCATCCATCCACCCACCTATCCAACCAACCATCCATCCATTCCATTTCATTTATCCACTCATGAGATGCTACCACCAAAACGGTAGCTATTTAACACTAGAAATGGGGCATAAGTGACCATGGGAATAAAATTTTTCAATTTCACTTCTTTTTTTTTTTTGGTACCGGGGATTGAACTCAGGACCTTGTGCTTTCGAGGCAGGCAGTGGCAGCACTGAGCTAAATCCCTAGCCCTAATTTCACTTCATTTTAATTAATTTAAATGTACCTTTAATGGAAGAAACAGTGTAAAATACTTTTCCCTGAAATCCAATGAGAATGCTTCGGTTTCGCTGGGCATGGAGGTGCACACCTGTGATCCCAGCACTTGGGAGGCTGAGGCAGGAGTATCTCCATGAGTTTGAGGCCAGCTGGGGCTACATAATGAGTTCAAGACCAGCCTGAACTACATAGTGATGCCCTGTCTCATAAAACAAAACAAAACAAAAGATTATACTTCAATTGTACTTTTACCAATTGAGCATGGAATTGAGACACAAAGCCAATGAAACATCTCAGGGTGATTTTGATTTTGATTGCATGTTGCAATGAAGGATAGATTGGATTAAACAAAGCATATTCCTAAAATTAATTTTGTCTGTTTTACTTTTTTAAAACTGTGGTGCAGCCAGGTGTGGTTGCACAACCCTGTAATCCTACACTCTAGGATGCTGAGGCACGAGGATTGCTTCACTTCATAGCAAGTTCAAAGCCAGCCATGGAAGCTGTCTACAAACAAATATAGTCCAAAAATGTAGCAGCTAGCAAGCCAGAAATGTACACTACTTTGTGCTGGCTCTGGGATCTGGGAGTGGAGTCAGGGCTAGGTGTCCCCCGTAGAGGGCAGGGCAGTGGAGGAGGCTGGGGGCTGGGGGACACATAACCCAGGAGGGCCAAGGACAGGAGGGCTCGGTATTGAGCAGCAGCCTGAGTGGGAAAGGCATGGGGGGCAGAGAAACCTGGAAGCTGGAGTGGCGCTGGCAGGAATTTCCTCTCAGGAGGGGGACCAGGGGGCAGGGATGCTGGCCTCTCCCTGGGTCCTGCCTGCCCCTCCTCAGCCCTGGAATGTGCGCTTTGCTGTGGGAGCTCAGACGTGGCAAAGGGAGGTCACTGGGTCATGAGGTCATGTTTCCAAAGAATCAGGCCACTGTCACCTCCAGAGCCCAACCTTTCCATTAAAACCTGGTAATTGTCACAAATACCAGGAGAGCTCGGCTGCCTAAGAGGCTGGGTTCCCAGAGGGCGGGGCTGGGGGAGGGCGCCCCAGTCCTGAGTCAGGAAGG